ATGTGGGCTTCATAAATAACTGGAAAATGTTTGGGTTAAAACCTGGTCTCATTGAGAGCAACCACATCTATCCAACTCGCGAGGGTGCAGATCTCATTTCTAGAAACCTGGCCAAGTTTATTCTGAGTTAAAAACAGAAAGCTGAGGTGTTTTCAGTGTTATATTATTATATTAGATAGTCTGACTCACCTGGTGACGTTCTCAGTCTAATGCACATTTTAAAGAAACAGCTGATGTTTTCTATTCAACACAAATGCTCTTTGACAATCAAAGTTAAGAAGACAGAGAAATGCAGTGACGCAGGTTTGGGAGCGACGGCTTCCTCACCTCCTCCCTGCTTTTGTCTTTTGGATAAACATGATGACATTTTAAAAACTGAAAGTAATGCATGAATAAAACTTGACCCTACCTCTAAATTAAATACATTAAGTAGAAAAGAAAAAGTAAACCAGTGAAATATAGAAGCAGGCTATCGGTTTGGTTTGTTTTATAACTGAACTGAATGAAAGTGGGCTGATGAAGAGGAGTCTTTGAGCAGCCGGAAGCTGAAGAAAGCAGGACAATGTGCCTAACAAGCAGCAGCTGAGAGAGGAAGCGGAGGAACACATCAATGTTTTATCAGAGTCTGTCTATTATTTGTTCTTTGCTGTAACAAGAGACCGAGGTGGACATGTTTAGCAGGTATTGTCTAACAACACATGATTAGCACAGGAAGTTAATTCACTGCAGTTTTATTTATATAGCCCCAAATCACAACAGTCGGCTCAAGGAGCTTATTTTAAGATAAAGAAAATGCTTTAATGTTCACGAAAGGATGAAGATATTTAATGTGTTTGTTATAACAGCTTAATTATCATTTGTGCCTGCAGTGTGACCATGCAGTGGTCCACAAATCTGGAATAATTTTCAAATCACTTCAAAAACATTAACATCTTTCTCTTCAAATGCAACACAACAGTTGCAACAAAATCTTTTAAATATAATTGTATATTTTATCATATAATGCAAATTATGAATACTGTAAAATATGTCTGATTTTGAAAGAATTTTTCTTGTGATAGAGTACTATTATTTCTGTCTACATATACTGGATTATATATACTGAATTTTTATCATTATTGTGTTTTTCTGGATCATTTAGTGATTTAGCTTGGTGTTATAGTTTACATATTTAAAAATGCAGATGTATTTTTCTGTATATTATCTCAAGTTTTGGGCAAAATAACTATTACAACCAAATAACTATCTTATACGTTATGATCTTGAAATTTGTATTTCATTTGTGAATAAACGGAAACTGTTTCTCAGAGACTTTTCCGTCAGTTTCTGAATTTATTGTCAGGCTTTTGCTCGTATGTCGCAGCACTCTGCAAATTACTTTTGAATAAAGTTACACAGATCAATAACGAGTTTGTTCCTGTTCCATGTGAACTATCCAGATAAAGCTGGAGGTTAAGAATAAAGCATTGGTGATGTTTTCCTCTCATCTCCTTAGTCCTATTTAGAAATAAAGAGAATCTCAGACAGACGCTTATTTTCACCCCAGTTAAAGTCTCTGTATTAAAAGTCAATCCACATGTTTTCTCTGTATTACTGCTTTTAGGAAACTTATTTAAATATAATCGAACTGAACTAAGGGCTCTACAGGGAAATGTTTTACCTTACTGTAAACAGCTTCACCTTGTGGAAGAACACAGTTATTACAACCAGTAACGCTGCAGTCTCCACCGGTCAGGTTATTATCTGCAGCTGAAAACATTGAAGCAGACTTTAGAAAGTACTCCTGCTATCTGTGACACGTACAGGATCCTCTGTGATGGTTTTTCTCACGTCTCAAATGTCTGTCCTCCACCTCTGAGCAAGAAACCATTATCATGCTGAGGGAGATCTCTGCTCCTGACATAAGGAGAGAAGAGGCTGCAGGAGTTTTTACCTTCACAGTGCTGTGACACAGATGCAGTCACATTTTTAAAACTTTCTAAATAAGTCAGAAAAGTTTGAATTTCTTCTATGAAACTTAAAAAGCTGAATTTCAAAATAATCCAAATGAATCCATTTAAAAAAGTTTCAAAAAGAAGAAAAATGTCAAATTAACATTGATTTATTTCACATTTACAGACACCATTACACCTTACACCAGCTTAAACAGACACTTATTTTGAAAAGCCAGGCTCATCTCATCCAAGTATCGCTTTAGAGACCAATCGATCAGAAATAATTTAGTCTAAATCTACACTGAACTTTTTTAAATTTTTTTACAACTTTATACAAAAACATCTGTTTACATGTTTGTTTGTATATCAGTAGTGGGCGACCAATCAGCTGTCAGAGCTGAACAAAAACACAGGAAGTGATGCTCAGTTTACGTGAAGGAAAACAACTGCCACCACTGTTTGTCCAAACATAAGCAGGAAGTGACATCATTGGGGAGGAGGTGACACAATCTGGTGATTCTTAGTGGTTGCTAGGTAACAGGACTCAAGTGCTGATGTCGTCACATGAGCAGGTCTTTTTCGTCTCATTTACAAGATGAGAAATGTCCTGTTGTCATGACAACAGTCTCTGTAGTAACAACCTAGCTGGCCTTGGCATCCAGCAGCAGCACCCTCATCAGCGTCCTGGCGGCGGCCAGCAGCGCTCCGTGCAAAGCATACTGGGCTACCAGCACGCCGAAACCTCGGTAGAAGCCAGCACCACCTTCCTTGCGGCTGATGGCGTGCAGGCAGTCAGAGAAGCCATCATACTGCGTGTTTACGGGCACTACCAGCGGGCTCCCGCCATTTCCCACCGCGACCACTCCATCGGTGGCATCAATGATGGTGCGCGTACCCTGCAGAGCCAGGCGATGTAGCACCGTCTCAAGAGGAAACAACACCACGTCAGCCACCAGAGAACCCGCCCAAGATGCCGCCAGCTCGGGGAAGTAGGCATCTAGTGGATTGGATGGTTCTGCCCGCTGCTTCTTGCTACGCTGGTGCAGCCACAGCACCACCCGCTGGATGGAGGTAGCCACAGCATAGCGCAGGATGGCATGCAGCGCAGCGGGAAGCAGCAGGCATCTGAGAGGAAGCAGGCGACGACTGTGAGGTGCGCCGACACCCAGCAGTCGAGCAACACCCTCACGGACGCAGTCCAGCAGGCCAGAGGACGACTCATCCCGCACAATCTCGCTCTGAAGATGGAGAGAGGAACACAGGTCCGATCAAATGATCAATTTAAAAAAAAACAATCCTATATAAAAAAAAAAGATGAGAAAAACAATAATCTCCTTCATCAGCTAACATGCTCTAAATCAGCGGTCCCCAACCCCCGGGCCTCGGACCGTTAGTGAGTCGTTTGGTACCGGGCCGCGAGAGTTGAGGCTCAGGTGTGAAATGTATAGTTTTCAGGGTTTTTATCGGTTTTCAGCGTTATTTTGTTATCGTTTTTATCGTTTACTCGGTTTTCCTGGGTCTTTTCACGTGTGTTATGAATAAATCTTCTTTTTTTCGGTACCGGTACTAGTTTTATTTTGTTGTATTTATCCGCGACACCTTAAAGGCCGGTCCGTGAAAATATTGTCGGGCATAAACCGGTCCGTGGCGCAAAAAAGGTTGGGGACCGCTGATTTAATTAGACAGCATCATAACAGCTGCTCCTCAGCTTCCTGTTTGTGTGACATCATCATGCTCTCGTTGTTTCAAACAGGAGCCGTGTGGCTGATGGCGTCATCAATCTCACACAACGCTGGTAAGGTGTTGGAGAGATTATGCACCACTTTATGTGATCTCATGGCAGTGAAGGCATAAACCAACATCAAAAAGCCGCAACAACACCTCACTCTCATTGGTTGCTCTGTGAGTGATGTCATGAACAGAGAAAGAGGTTCTGATCTAGACCACTAGTTGGTAAACCTCATCATGTGATAAAAGGAAAGCTAATGAGCTGCTGCTAACTGACTGCTGTCATAAAAGAGGCATCGCTATTCAATAAACAATAATCAGTGACCTGCACGGTCTCAATGAGGCTGGCACAGTAAAATGGAAGAGCGACGACTGCCGTTAATCTGCAAGAGAGAGAGAGAGAGAGAGAGAGAGGAGGCGGGGTCAGTTTGTATCTCAGTCTCTGTTTAAGAGCAAGAAAAAGAACTGACAGGTAAGAAGATGAAGAAGAAGAAAAACTGACCCTTTAAGCAGCAAATGCCCAGCCACCTGTTTCCAGCTGCACCTGTGAGGAAGCTCCCTACACACACACACACACACACACACACACACAAAGATGTCAGAGTGACGTTGTACAATACTGTATCCATGTGCTAGTGGGAGCAGGTGGTTACCGTGGCAGTGGCGTGAACTCGCTGATGATGCCCTCGGCTCCGAGCGTAACACCATGAACGATGAATGTGCTGCCCATCCCCTTCCACAGAGCCTTCACACCCTGATCAACACAACATATTAATCACCGACAACATAATAACACAATTTATATCCTGAAGTATAAATGCGTGTGGACAGGCCGACTCAGGTTAGTGGGAGGAAGCCGGAGTAGATCAGTAGTAGTCCTCCTTCCTGTGAGGCAACATCACAGTGCCCCCTCCATCATCAATAATTAAGTCTCTATTTTTATTCTTTTAATATTTATCTATGAGTTTTCATATTGTATTTATAATAAATACATTATTCTGTATTATTATATATTTAGATTATTCTGATCAGTTGTAAACCTCCATATCGTATCTGCATTTACTATTTTGCAATATTTAAACTTTTTAAACTTATTTGTAAATAATGTTAAAATACTTTCATTTTCCATTTTAATATTAATATATTTAACTTTGTATTATTAAAAGAAATATTCTAAATGTCATTATGTCCAAATACATTTAGATTTTCCTATTTGATTAATATTTTTATACTGCTTTTTATACAAATATAATTATCATAATTTATAAGAAACAATCAAACGTATTCAAAATGATCTTTTTACATATATTTTTATTCATCTTTGGGTTTTAGTGTGTCCCGTTACCTGAGCTTTGGTGATGCTGTACATTACAGCGACAGCGCTGAATGGAGTCAGGTGATAACACCGGGCGTGGTAGTTCACCTGATGTAAACAGCCAATCAGAGTGCAGCAACAGAAAGAGGAAAATAAAACATTTAATGTCTCAAAACGCACAAAACTGAAATAAAAAAGTTTCTCCCACGGCGTTAATAAAAGTATTTTAATCCATAGCCATCATTATTTATGGATCATTTATTGATAAGAAGGTGAGGTCATACCTGGCACTGTCTGCGGAACACGATGCAGGGGTGAGAGAGGACGTTCTCTGTGAACAGACTGAGTGCGCACACACACACGCACGCACACACACACACACACACACACACACGTTTTAGTTAGAAACCCCCTGACTTCTCACACTTCAGCCTGTTTTTGGGATGAAAGTGTCAAAAAGTAAAACATCTCGCTTTTTGGTTGTCACTAATGGCGAGCACTGACACAGTCTCGTCCCTTTTTTGCTCTCATTTTTCCCTGTGATTAGAACCAAAATCACCACCAGCATCTTTGACTCGACAGTGGAGACTTTTGTTGCAGTGAGTCGCTGAAACTAAATGAAGCTTCAGCTTCAGTGGAAACACTGAGAACAGAAAGATGTGTGATTGTTCCCAACCATGGAGTCCAAACAGTTCAGACTGAATAAACTCATTCAAGCTGAATATTGGTCCACATGCAGTGACTCGGTCCGAGCCTCTGCTCATCTTGAAACCATGAGAAACGATTTCCTCACCTGACGAATCCAACCCCGAAGCCAGCGAATCGATTCAGCTGCTCTGCAACGACAAAAGCAAACACGATAAACTCGCACAGTGCAGGACGTCCATAAATAAAATCAATAACGGCTTTATTCACATAAGCTACCAAACAGTCTGCTGTCTAGTTCATTCATCACCGAGGATGATTCCACTGTTTTAATAACTTTTAACTCCAATAAAGTTAGTTAATAAGTAGTAAACTAAACATAGCACAACAAACACAAATTACAGAAAGCTGCCTTTGAGAGTTCAGGCGGTGCTGCAGAATAAAGCTGCTCATACCAGATATTTACTGTCAAGCTCGTTGGAGTTAGACTCTGTTTTGCGTTACTGACTGTATTTCCAGGT